CCAGTCTCCCAGCTAATGTCACCTCTCTGACCTTTTCTCCTAATCTGTAAAATTGGAGGGGGCTGGTTGATTTCTAAGGACCCTTCTAGCTCGAAGAGGTAGGCAGAGCCTTGGGACCGAGTCAGATTCCTGGCTCCGGCGCATGCTACCTGTGTGGCCTTGAGCAAGTGACTTGAACACCCGAGTCTCTCCATTTCTGAATTTGTAGGTAGTTCTAGGCCAACTGAAGGCAGAGCCCTGTCCTGGGATAGAAAAACGTTGACTTCTTTTTCCTCTCAGCCTCTGGCCCTTTCTTCTTGCATAGAAAATGTCTTGTAAATCAATGGATGTTCATTTCTGGAAAGAAAGCCACATTTCCTGTGTTTATACAGTAAGAAAAGGCCTCCTGCTGAAAGGGAAAGGCTTGGAGTTGCAAGGCTTGGGTTCAAATCACAACTCAGACTCATGTGTAAACCCCTGAGGGAAATCGTGTGGTCCCAGTGAGCCTCAGTTTCATTATTTGTAAAAGAAGTATAAAATATTTGCATTATCTGCGGAGCAGCAGCACTAGATAAATGGAGAAGAAAAATCTTTGTTAGCCTTAAAGCAACATAAAAATCAATCAATTTTGTGAGTAATAAGTTAGAAATGTGAGTATGAGCATCAAGTAGAATGAAAACAAAATTGAAAAACTCCCAAATTCAGACCAATGAAAACTCTTTCAGGCCCCAGGCTCCTAGTACTGTGAGATTACTTTTCATAATTGACCTGGGCTCTGGGGAGGATGGGGTCAGAGGTTAAAAAAAAAAAAGACTTGGTCCTATTTTCAGGACTGTGCACTTACTAGACTCCAACAGCTTCAGAGTGGTTTGGATTCCTTCCCTTCCCGATGACCTGCCTCTGACCCTTGTTCTTTCCTGGCCTGGCTCACTGTGCCCGGGAAAGTGTACATGTGTATGTGGGGAAGGTAAGCAAGTAGGAAACTAGCTCCTCACCTCACCAACCCCAGAGAGCCCAGGAGAGAACCCCTCCTCCAAGAGGAGGGAATTAGGTTTGAAGCTGGATCTGGCTCCTTCCTCTCATTCTCAGTCACATTGGAAATGGACTCCCTAGAAATGGAAGCAGCTGGAAGAGGAAAATGGGGGAGGGGGCTAGGTCGTAGGATTAGAAGATCTAGAGCTGACCAAAATGTGAGAGGTCATCTAGGCCTGGCCTAATTTGTGTCATGGGCCCTGAGCAGTCTGGGAAAGCCTAGTTCATGAGGCCTTCTTAAAATCATATTTTTAAATGCACAAAATAAAATCTGTAGGATTATAAAGGAAAATAAAAATTTGATTTGCCCTCTCCCCTCCAAATTTACAGACCTCCAAAATCTATCTGTAACTATGGGCCCATTTTAAGAACTGAGATTAGAACAAAAATCCCCTTCCCTCTCCCTCTGTCTCCCCATCCTCTCTTCCTTTCTCTCACCGTTCCTCCCCCTCTCCTTTCTCTCCATTCCTACTCTCTGTATCTCTCTCTCTCTCCTCCCTTTCTCTGTCTCCACCCTTTCCTTCCTTCTTTTTCTCTCTCTGTATCTATTTATCTCTGTTTCCCTCCCTCCCTTCTGTCTCTCTCTCTTTTCTGTCTCTTGTCTCTGTCTCTGTCTCTCCCCTCTCCCTCCCTCCTTCTCCCTCTGTGTATCTGTCTCCTCTCTTTCTCTCCTCACAACCCCACAATGCATGAATTTTGTTCTTTGTAGCTAGCTGGGGTTCTTGTGGAAGACAAAAAAGGAAATAAGGGTGTGGGAAGGCCTGCCTACCTTGTCTGGGTCTCTGGGTTTGAGCACCACTGGCCCTCTACAGGGCCTCTATGTGTGTGCTGCCCTTGTGTATGAGCCTGGAGCAGTCAATCCAAAACCTTACTCTTTTTCCCCAGCTTTCTGAGATGACAAGTCCACTTCTGCGCTGAGCAAGGAAAATGTGGGGTGATGAACAGATGCAGTTTGTCAAAGAGGTCGGCTGTGCAGCTGACACCCACTAACATAAGAGTCTGGAGGTGGGGTCTCTAAGCCTGGCTATCCTAGTAACTCGCTGTTATCTTGGTCAAGGCACAATCTCTTTGGGTCGCAATTACCTCATTCAGTTCAGCAAATATTAAGGAACCATAAAGTAAAGGAGACAGTTTTGGTTTTAAAGTAACTTGCAATTGTAAAATACAGTTAGACTAAATGATTATTTAAATCCTTTTCTACATTTTGTGGTTCTAAGATAATATATAAATTATATATGTGTAAATACATACATTCACATACATATATACATACACATATACATATGCACATACACATACATGCATATGCATCCTTTTTTTGGAGGGAGGGTTCCAGGAAGGAGTGACAGGGACTATGAGGAAAATTCAGGGCCACATTAACACTCTTCAGGCTTATAAGCACCCAGGCACTAATTTCCTTGGACCAGAAGTGCATTCTGGAGCCGGCTCCAGTGACTCTTTGGGCCAAGGCTTTGCCTAAGGCAGCTACTAGATGCTGAGATTGAGGCATTCATCTAAACTTCTCCACTCCTTACCTGTCCCTACCCCCCACACCTAGCACAAAGCTCAGCCTAGAGAAGGCAGGAATGGATACATATTCATCACAGTGATTCAGCTGATTCTCGAGGAGGGAGGTGGGGCAGGATTTTCTGAATCTCCAAAGAATACACAATTAATGTTGTAATCCACGATTCTAGACTCTCTGCCACCTCCCCCCCCCCCATCTTAGAGACAGCCTGCTTCAATGGAAAGCATGATGGATTTGGAACCAGGGGACTTGGAATCTGGGCTCAATACCTGTGTGACCTTGCCTGGACTTCAGTACATTGTCTGCAAAATGAGAGTGTCAGACCTGATGGCCTTTAAGGTCCCTTCCAACTTTCAATCTATGATCTCATGATTTTCAAGGTGTACTGGAAAGGATTCCCTGACTTGTCGTCTCAGGACTTTAGATCTAAAGAGCCTTCTGTCAAGGTCGTAAACCAGGGGTTCCTAACTTAAAAACAACCGATAAAATTGGGTTCTTTTGTAATCCTATGCATTTTATACATCAAAAATATTCTGAGAAAGGTTTTCACTAGATTGCCAAAGGGATCCATGGTCCCCCCAAAAATAGAATTAAGAACCCCATGGAGTCCAGCCTCAGGAAAAACTGAGGCACAGAGAAGTGACTTCCCCAAGATCGCACAAGCAACCCGTAGCAGCTCTGGCCTCAGAATCCCACCTTTGCCTTGCGACCTCAGCTCACTGTCCCTCTCTGGACCCATTCAGTTCCCAGGGCAATAACTCTTCCCTTTTCGGGCTTTGAGGATGAAAGAGCTAACGTACCGAGAGCGCTTATAAATCTAATGACTTTCAGTTAGCTTTGGTTCGGTTCCATGAGGTTCAGCGCTTTCTTCTCTCAAAGAGCAAACACAAAAGGCGGCCAAGGCAGGGGAAGGGATGCTCCGCACGGAATGGAAGCCGAGGCCAGAGGCAGAATGTGCGAGCGCGCGCGCGCGCACGTGCGAGCTGCCAGCGGCGACAGGGTTCCTGGACTCACTGGGGAAGGGCTGTTTCAATCAATCAACGATAAACACTGATTAAGGACCTACTATGTGCCAGGCACTGTGCTAAACTCTGGGGACACAAACAGAGAGTACTGGCCCTCCAGGAGCTCACGACTTAATAGAGGAGAAAACATGCAAACAAATCCATACAAAGCAAGCTATTTACAGGATAAACAGGAAATAATTAAAAGGGAGAAAGCCCTGGATTAGAGGTTGAGGAAGGCTTCCTGTAGAAGGTGGGATTTTACCTGGGGTTTAGAGGGAGGAGGGAGAACGTTCCAGGCCTGGTGCAGGGCCAGAGAAAATCCCCTGGCCTGGAGATGGAGTATCTTGTCTAGGGAGGGATATATTTATGTTTAAAGAAAAGATAATCAACATAAATGTGGGTATGATGCACTAATACACACACACACACACATGAATATGTATATATGTAAATACACATAGTTATATACATATGTGTATGTGCAGATATTTGCATGTGTATGTACATATCAATGTGTCTTTCCACAATACCTCTATACATAATATAAATATATGTGCATACACATATAAGATTTTTGTGTAGGTATGTACATGTATATGTACATATGTGTATATATGCTTGTGTAGGTATGCACACACCTACAGTACACATATACACACATGTGTATATACATATGCATACATGCATGCATCTATACACATAAATATATGACACATGATATATGTACATATTTATATATGGTTTATGTACATGTTTGTGAAACACACACATACATGTGCATTTATATATTCACACATGCATATGTATGTACACACAGCATGCTATGACACACACAACATGCATGTAGATATATGACACAAACATATACATATGTTTATGTGTGCATACATCGCATTGAGATATATGCACATGCATGTATATATCTTTGTGTTTCTATGTGTACACATACATTTTTAATACGTATATCTAGGTATCACATAAACACAATCAATATACAGGTATAAATACATGTATATGCAGATACACATGTATACATACATGCACACACATGTACCCATACATCCCTGGACTCTGAAAGAAAACAGGAGGCTGAGCCCAACAAAATAACCAAAACCAAATACATCCTGGCTGTGGATACAGAAGCATCCTTGGGTGGTTGCTGGTTGAAGCAGGGTCCAGAGGCCTTGGGGGGGCCCTATCCTAATAACCAAGAGTTCTAGGGTGGGACCTTGGAGGCCTCTAATCCTAGAATCATAGATTTACAGCTAAAAGGGACCTTTCAGGATATTTAGTCCAGCCCTTTTTTTTACAGAAGAGGAAACAGGCTCATTGAGAATAAGTGATTTGCCTAGGGTCACACTCCTAGTATCAGAGGCAGGATTTGAATGCAGGTCTTACTGACATCGAGTCCAGACCTTTACCCGCTTATCTAGTCCAACCTCTTCTTCCTACAGATGTGGAAACTGAGTTTCAAAGAGGGAAAGTGAAGCTTGTCCAAGGCCACATATATAGTAAAAGAATTGAAATTCAGACCCTCTGAAGCCAAATCCAGGGATTACACCAAGTGGAGGACAGAGGAGCTACACTTTTCCTAGGCTTCAACAAGGACAATAAAAAAAAAACCAGGAAAAGGGAAGTTGAGGTAAGTTTGGAGACAAGTGGGGAGCGGAGGGGGTACGTTAAGTTCAGTTTCTCTTTTCCAACACCACAGACAAATGGAGAAACAAAGTCAATATCTTTTCTTGTTCATCTTAATGCAATCCAGTTTGATTTTAGGAAAATTTCTGAAACAAACAAAAACAAACAAACCAAAAAAAACAAAACAAAACAAAACAAAACAAAAACAAAACAAAAACAAAACACTTGCTGCCAGACCAGGTATTAGAAGAACATTTTTTTTTTACCAACCTAATAATTTATATGTTGTCTTAGAGTTGCAAAGGGCCTTAGAGATCATCCAGTCTAACTTCATCACTTTAGAAAAGGAAACTGAGGTCCCGAGGTTGAGTGATTTCCCCAAAGTCCCACTGGTGACAAATAGAAGAGTTGCAATTGAACCCAGGCTCCCTGGTGGTAAAACTAGTGGTCTTTTTATATAGTCTATTCTTCAGAAATCAAATTCTTTTAGCTGGATGGTGATTTACTATGTGCCTGAGCTAGGGCCAGCCATCTAGACCAGAGATTCTTAACCCTTTTTGTGTCGTGGATCCTTTGGGAGGTGTGGGAAAGCCAAGAAACCCCTTCAAAGAATAATGCTTTTAAAGGCATAAAATAAAATAATGAAAGACTGTTATCAAAATAAAAAAAAAATCAAGTTCTCAGACCACAGGTTAAGAACCTCTGAATTCTAGACTCTTCATTGGCTTTACAAAATGTTACCTTGAAATAGCTTACCCTGATCTGGGCAATTTTTGAGGTGGAATCAGAGTAGCAAAGCCTAAACTTCAGGAGGTGGGAATAAGGGTGTGATTAGGGCAAAAAGGAAATAAGGCAGATCTGATGTTGGGGGAATTCTTGGGGCATCTTTCCCTGAGTTATTTCTGGCTGCGCCAACTCAAACTGGCTTATGTCCTCACTAACACAATCTACTCCTTCTCAAATCCCTCTGGTTCTCAAATTCTCATACTTGAGCAAGAGATGTTAGCACCCCTCTTCTCCCTCCCCAATGAGCATGATGGCCCCCTGACATAAATTTTTTGACCTATATTTATCCTCACAAAACTTTATTTTTCCACTAACAAACTTCGCTCATAGCCCTTTGTAAAATCCTTCCTTCTCTCTTTCCTTCCTTCTTTCCTCCTTCCCTCCCTTCCCACCTTCCCTTCTTTCTTCCTTCCTACCTTACCTCCTTTCTTTACTCCTTCCCTCTCTTCTTTCCTTTCCCCTTCTTCCCTTTTTTCTTCCTTCCTTCCTTCTTTCCTTCCTTCCTTCCTTCCTTCCTTCCTTCCTTCCTTCCTTCCTTCCTTCCTTCCTTCCTTCCTTCCTTCCTTCCTTCCCTCCTTCCTCTTTTTTGCCCCTCATCTCACCTTTTCCTGTCTTTCCTCCCCAACCCCAACCATTCTTCTCTCTCATTCTTTCAAAATCCTGACAGTGGGAGGGCAGACAAAAACCCTGAAGAACCATTCCAAATTCAGGCTTGGAAATAGATAGATAGGCCTGTGTTCACATAGCACGCAAGACCCCCCACTGTGCTGGGCCCTCTCCCGGACTGCTGTCTGTGGTTTCTGCAGCCCAGTGGGTTCCCCCCTCCTCCCGCTTACATTTTCCACCCTTGTTAGGCTCCTCAGGTGGGGGTGGGAGTGGGGGATGACATCAGCAGAGGAAAGTCTCTTTGTTGGCTCTTGCATGCATTAAAGTCTGGGGAAGAGTGAGGAAAGGGGGGAAACATATGAATAATCGGGTGACCTTTGGTTTTACTGTTTAGTACAACCTAAGTCTGTTTACAATAAATCTGAGTGACATTTTTCATCCTTCCAAATGGAAGAAGGGTTATGTAAGCAGAGCGACCTCAGACACGGTGAACACCTGTTGGAACCAAATTGATTTAAAGAAGAAGGAGGAAAAAAATTGAGACCTCTTTTTGACTCATGGTCAAGTTCAAGATGACACGTGTGGCTGTTTTATTGAACTGGGAGGCTCTGAAAGGCTGGCAGACCTCTGGGCCTTCAGGAACAGGGTCAAACAGGCCTGGAGGCCTGTTTCCCCTTCTGACCCCTGCTTATGGTTGGTAATTGTGACTCTCCCCACAATGCTCTCTGTGTCCAGGAAACACGCCTCTTTGTACGGCCACCTCCCATGTCTAATGTCAGGTCCTAGCTTGGCCAAATGGCTTCCCTTCTTTGAGTTTCATTTCCTCTTTCTGTAAAATGAGGAGGTGGGACCAGATGATCTCCAAGGTTCCCTTTAGCTATGAAACTTATCGTTGTAGTCCCATTTCAAAACTAATTCTGCGTTTCCTGAAGCTGTGTTGGTCCCTGCTGAGTGCCTCTTATGTTAAGCATGGATTCCTAACCGCAATGAATGGAAAATAGGATTCAGTATTCAGGAAAAATGGTCTTTTCCAAAGAATTGCTTTGAAAGAATCACATCCATCCCATTATCTTTATTGCACAGGAGTCATTTGACTTAACACCATTCTCTATTCTGTACTCTGGCTAATCTGACCAGAACTGCTTTCTTTAGGAAGCTTGCCTCTAACTCTGGGTATGATAATTAAATGCTACAGACTTCTGCAGGGTAGAGACTAACTTCCTCCAACAAATCAGATTTTCCAAAGCAGTCTGAGCCATAGTAGGGAAGTCCTTGGGGTTTGCCTGAGGCATATAGAAATTAAGGAAGCTAGTGCCAGAGGATAAAAACCTGAGGCTTCCCACCTAGCACTCTAACCGTTACACCTGATTGATATTAATAGATCAGTCAATATATCATAATAATATAATTACTATAACATAGAAATCAATAGATCATATCAATACAACCAAAATATCAATCAATTAATATGTCATATTATTATGATTAATATATCAATGTAACCATCACAACAATCAATTAATATAATTAAAATAATATATAATTAAATTAGTATAATATTAATGCATTAATAGAATTTGTTGTTGTTCAGTCATGTCTGACTCTACATGACCCCATGGACTTTTGTCCATGGGATTTTTCTTGGCAAAGATTCTGGAGAACTTGGCCATTTCCTTCTCCAGTGTGTCCCCGTTTTACAGATGAGGAACTGAGGCAAATAGGGGTTAAGGGACTTGCCCAGGGTCATACAGCTAGTAAGTGTCTGAGGCCAGATTTGAACTCAGATCTTTCTGAATCCAAGCTCCATTTGTGCTCTATCCACATGTTCCTATTACTAGAATATATTGCTTTAAGTTTTACAAAGTGGTTTACCTACATTGTTTGATCTGGTACTCATGATAGCTCTGAGTGGGATGTAATGGAAAGCTTGATTGTAGAATAGAAAAGGGCACTGAAGACGGGTTTGAATCCTGACTTACTCCTGGGACAAGTTTCCTAACTTCTTTGTGTCTTAGGCAATTCCCAAGCACTGGGCCACTTGTGGGGTCTACCTCTCTGATCCTCTATTTCCTCATCTGTCAAATGGGCTGATAATGACTAAGTAACAAAGGCCCTTTGTAAAATTTACAGTGTTAATCTGAGTTGTTATTATGTCCATTTGTCAAATAAGGAAATAGTCCCAGGGAGAGGCTAAACTCGGCTCTTCTGCCTCCAAATCCAGAGCTCTTCTGCAATTCATAGCTTAGATTAGTGGTTGGCAGCCTTCTTGGCTTGGGCCCAAGATGATAAACCAGCTGCTTTGTAATGACATGCAGGCCAGTCCTGACATACCCTTCCCCATGTCATCTCTCTCTCTGATCCTTCCACACCATTTTCCCTACTAGACAGGAGAGCCAGGGTTTTCGACTTTGACACCTGGCTTTTGAAAGGTTGCTAACCCTTGGTTCCCTGATTTAGATAGTACTCACAGTCTCAAAGATGAAAGTCCATCTAGAAGCAATCTACTCTAATTTGTACCCGACTAAAAGTTGCCCTACCATACTGCCAACAAGTGATCATACATATAACAGCTTCTAGTGGGGATGGGAGTGGGGAATGAACCCACTGCCTCCTGAGGGACAGCTCTGATTGTTAGGAAGTCTTCTGTTGAACTGGACATCTGCTTTCTCTCCCTTTCTTCTCTTGGTTCCTCAAGCAGAGCCAATCTTATCCATCATTCATCTTCCCATCTCACAGTCCTCCTGATGTTAAAGAATCCAATCATGTTCTCCTTCTTGATCCTAACCCAGTCCTCTCTTCTCCAGGGCTAAATGTCCCTAGTTCTTGGTATTTTCTTGAATGATTTCATTATGCTAACCACCTTCCTTGGGGCATATTTTGGCTTATATCTTTTTTCACATGTGGCATTCAGAATTGGACATAGCAAACCAGATGCAGTTTGACCAGATCACAGACAACAGGACTGGCACCTTCCTGGTCCTTGATACAGTATTCTTTCAATATAGTATAGAACACTTAAACCATTCCTTCCCCCTCCCCCATTTTTTGGTTGTTGATTCTTATTGGGTTATGTGCTGCAAGCTTAATCATACTAACAATAGCCAGCATTTATAAAGAGCTTTAAGATTTGCAAAATACACTACAGACATTATCTCTCTTGATCTTCACAGCAACCTCGAGACGTTTTCAAGTAAGGGATTATTTTCTCCGTTTTCATAAGGGATCCTAAGAAGTGACTTACTCAAAATCACATGGCTAGTTAGGACAAGAACCCAAGTGTCCAACTCTCAATCTGGTGCTCTTTCATAGGATTAGAGATTATATCTACAAGAAACTTTACAGATCATTTAGTCCAACTATTTCATTTTATGAAATAAGTCAAATGACTTGCTCAAGGTCATGTAGGAACCTAGGTACTATAATTAGAATCCAACGTCTTTTCTCCTGTCTTCCTCTGCCAGTTTCACCATGACCCATTTCTTTGGTCAGTCACTCAGTGAACTAGCATTTATTAGTAAATTAGCATTTATTAGACTGACTCTTTGGCATAATGTTTTTCTAGGGTGAAAACACATTCTTTGTTCCAGCAACAATTGGTGATTAAAGATAATGAAGTAAAAAAAAAGGAAATGAAGTAAGAAAATAAATTTTTAGGCAACATATGTTGCCTAAATAACACATGTATAACATAACACAATATTAATCATATTTCTCTAACATTATATGACCTAAGAGCTTTCTTCACAACAACTCTGTGAGGCACAGATGCTATTCCTTCCATTTTATAGATCTGAGACTCAGAAGAGTAATTTACACGGGAATGTCATGCAAATAGTAATTGTTGGACAGGTACTTGAACCCCGGTCATCTGTCACTACATCTAGTCTTCTTTCCAAAGACAAATGCCATCGTCTTAAAAGTACGATGTGTTGTTGTATTATAGCTGGTCTCCCCCTTCTCCATACTACCATCGCTCAAATGTCTAAAAATTCACCTCTACATTTGTACTTGTATACCATGACTTGCTAAAACCATGTGTAACAGAGATTTTCTGCCTCTTCTCTTCTCTTACCATCACCCCCCAGCAGCAAGTATACTAATCAATAATCATCTGACAGCCTCTCACAGTTGGACTGCGTGATTCTGGTTAGTTTCAGCATTAGATATTAGGATCTCAGATATATGACTTTCTAGATCATTTCTGCTTGATAAAGCAGCACAGTGTTATTTTATGTGTATGATGGCTTTCATCAGTGGCTAGTGACCATGTTAGAAACTTTTTAAAGCTAATCTAGCAAGAGACCTGGATTTTGCTAACAAGAATAACAAAAATAGAGCTAACACTTACAATAGTAATGTTTTTTCTGTGGCTTTTTCTAAGAAAAAAATGTATTTGCTTTATACTTTCATTAATTCTCTTCCCTTCCTTCTATTCTAAAATTTTATTTTCTATATCTTTATTAGTTCCTTCTTTAATTTCTTTGTTTTCTTCATGGAATTAATGCTTCTGATGTAGCACGCTTGAATTCTCTCTGCTAACAAATTTCTGTCATTTCCTTTATAGAACTGGACCTATTGCTCCCTCTTTTTTTATTCTATTGTGACTCACTCTTACACGTACCAATTTATGAGGGAAATTATTTGGGTAGAAGCAGTGCCCCATGAAAGAAATTCCCTAGTGTCCCAGTTCGTAAGTACAGTTTTATCTCTGCCATCTCCATGACCATTCTTTTTCCCACTGGCAGTGAGATCTCATCTCTGAGTCTATGTCCTCCCTTCCTTCTGGCTGCTGCTTGTCTCCAGCACTTATTTCTCTTTTCCTAAGGCAGGATGTAGTCCATGGAGACACAAAACTCTCTCAGGAAAAGTGGTCTCTCAATGTGCCAACTCTTTTCAGATCAAAATTAGCGTAGGGTCCCCATCTTCCATAGCAGGTATACCTCATTTTCTCTATAGAAGTGATCTTCTTTGAGACTCCTTCCCCACTACTAGGTTGGAATTTCTCCCTTTACTTCCCCATTTTCATTCCCTACCTTCTGGTGTCCTCCCAGCTATTCTTCTTACTAAGAGACCATAGGAATGAGGCATCATCCTTTCTCTGTTCATGCATGGGCTTCATAAGGCTACATCACCTATTTTCCATCTCCCTTCTCCCCATTCATCTCCACTGTCACTGTTCGGATTTGTTCCACAAAATACTTTGATTCACCCAGAGAGGTTAAGTTTAGCCTATGGGCTTCATTTCAACCTCTTTCCTTTCACTTTTTCCATTTCTTTAAATCATGATTTCATCTTTATCTTCTTTTATGCTTTAAAAAAATCTCTTGGTGATTTTCTTTTATTTTTTTAGGTTTTTAGTGAATGCAAAATGGTTTTCTAGCACGTGAATTTCCTTTCCTTTTTATTTGATAGCCTTGACCACTCGAAGAATTGGTTCTTTGTCATGAGAATTGTTCAATTTAACCACTATGTATCTTGGATTTTGAAGCATAAAGTTTCTTTCTTTCTGAAAGTGATTTGTAGATTTTGTTGGTGCTTTGTTTTTTGTATTCAAATATTATGAGAAGTTTTATTACATTTTTTCCTTCATTGTGTTGCTTAGGTTTTTTTTAAATTTTAATTTGTCTTGTTCTTCTGAGATAGCTATGGCCCTTAGGTTGTTTCTGCACATGCTGTTTTTAAGGTCAATATAGAGATCATGTATTCTATTAACATTGTTGCCATTTGCTTCTCTTATGCCAGAATTTCCTCCAGTTAAGCTTTTTTGTATTCTATATTTGTTAACCTCTTTTTCACTTTCCAAAGTCCTAACTTTGCCGTAAGGTTTCCACCATGGACTCTATTTTTTAATTTGAATTTGAATTTTTTTTCTTTTGCTTTTTGGTGAGGCGATTGAAGTTAAGTGACTTGCCCAGGGTCACACAGCTAGAAAGTGTTAAGTGTCTGAGGCTGGATTTGAACTCAGGTCCTTCTGACTCCAAGGCCAGAGCTCTATTCACTGTGCCACCTAGCTGCCACATGCTAATTGAATTTTACAAAATGTCTGCATTGAGAGGTATAACTAGGGATTTCACAAGATTCTGTGTTTCAACAGGCATTGTTTCACTTTCCTTTATCTTATAATATTTAAGCAAGCTTTGTAATCTCCATGAGGGCTTAGTATTTTTCCTTTCTTCTAGTATAATGTTTTCCCTGTTGATTTATCTGCTTATGCTCTGCATTTTTATTGAGTTTTCTTCTTGATATCTTTAATACGTTAGTTCTTTTTCCTTCTATTCCCCCATCACTCACTTCCTGACTCCTTTCCCTATGCTGGGGGTATAACCTTCAAGCTAGGCTGCAAAGCCCTCTCAGACTCCTCTTACATTGAGGGATTTGATGTTCATTGGCCTGGATTCTTGTCCTAAGTAGCCTCTGGTGGGAAAGGCCTGGCCCAAGCTGGGTTTCAGACTTTTTCATGACCTTATGAAGTTGCTCATACTGGTTCTCTACCCAGTTCCTCCCTTGACTCTCCTCCAAGCTTGGCTGAATCAGCATCTGACTTTTTGCAGGATTAGGGGATGATGAGTATACCTTGGAGGTATGTAACCTAGGGGTCACTCTAGGCAGAAGACAGCATGATTTATCCTCTCTACTCATGGCTGGGCAGAATCAACGTCTGCTGCTGGTTGGGAGGGGGATTGGAGGAGAGGGTATGTCTGTGTTTCTGGCAAAGTGTCTGCAGCTGGAGGGATCCTGATATAAGCCCTAGGCACAAGCCCAGGGGTAAGTTTTTTTTTCTTTTTCTTTTTTGTCCCTGCTGGGAGTAGAAGCATGGAGACTGGTGAGGGAGGGGTGCTGAGTGATTTTAAGGATGAGCATTCTCTGATGGTAATTCATATAGATTTTACCTTGTGTGGTTCTCTCTTTTCTGTCCTGTGTAGTCAGTTGGAATCACTCTGCATTTGGTGCTTAATTACTCATTTGGAAGCTTTTGAAAGTTAGTGGGAAGTAGTGAAAATTTCTTGTCTGTCATCTTATTGTTCCTGTTACTATGAAGTCCTTAAAAATGATTTAAAAATACAAAATGTTTTCCATAAATTATCCCATTTTGGCTTTGGAGACCATTGGTTCAAATTTAGGTTGATGTGACATTTTTCACCTGTTGACACCAAATACCTGCCTCATTGTATGTTGATTCCAGGTCTTCTATCTTCATCCAACTCTATAGCTAACAAGGGTTGTACTCCCAGCTTTGCAGTAATTTACTGTGTGACCCTAGATAAGCTGTTTATTCTTTCTGGGCTTCAATTTTCCTCCTATCTAAAATTCTATTTAGATTGGATTTGATAATGTCCTAAGATGCCTTTTGACTCGGACATCATATTCTCTCAGGTTCCTTCTAGCTCTGACATTCTATGTTTATTAGTAGGATCACAAATTTATGGGTGGATGATATATTAAAAATCATCAAATTTAACCCTTCTATTTTGCAGATGAGGAAACTGAGGCCCAGATAGGGGAAATGCTCTTGCTATAAACCCCTCAGTTGTGATCTTCTATGTGTTAAAATTCTTTTCAAATTTAGATCTTATGAAAGTAAGATTTTAAAATTTTATGAAAATTATATCTCATGAAAATAAATACCCATGAGAGCAAAGCATTTTGATGTAAATTAGGATTCTTGGGAAGGGGTAATTCAGTCTTATCTGTTAAAGAAAATGAGAAAGACTCGGAGTCTTATTAGGTATAAGATACACATGTGTACAAGTGCTTGACAGGAGAAAACAACAAATTTAATTCCAATAAACTATCAGACCACTCTAGAACTCTGAAAATTAGTGGTCCAGTTATGAGCTCATGAAGGGAAACCTTGTGTTTTTCAGAGTGTGTATGATAGGTGTATATTTGAATTCTTTTAAAGGATTTGTTAAAAATATTTTTCCACCTGTAATTTTAGCTGTGAGTTTGCTTTGGCTAACCATGGTGGGTTCTGCAAATATTCTCTGACAGGCAGTGTGTAATGTCATGTTCTGTCTTTTAGCTGTGTTCCAGGCCCTGAAAACTGACATTGTACATGGAAGTCTGTCTATTTTGCAGATCTGGGCTTTCTGGACCAAAATTGGATTTCACTTCACCTTGGCAATGAACTGTGTTTAAAAGGGTCCTTCAAAAAGATTCCCAGTGATTGGAGGGAACGCATCTCCTATCAAAGAGAAGATACTGCCCTCCAGTTGGTATCTTTGCAGCGGTGCCCTCAGGAGCGAAGATCTATTGTCTCTTAGCTGTATACTATGCAAATGCTACTTTGTAAACCAAAGTTTTATTGAAAATATTTAAGTTCTTTCCATGTGAATGTTTCATGCTTTCATGAAAAAAAAGGAATGTAATATTCTTGTTCCTCAACACCTTCAAGCCTAGAAAAGCTATATAGAATTAGGCATGGACTTAGAAGCTGAAAAAAAACTGAGAAATCATCTAGTCCAACCACCTCATTTTACAGATAGGGAAACTGAGACCAAGAGGTGAAGTGAATATATACTCTCCTGACTCTGATCTGTAGATAAAATGGAAGTTTCCTGTGTTATTTTACTTCCAAGGTTCTGTGATTTAGTTTGTGTGTGAACTTCCTCCACCAAACAGGTTACAACTCAGGTATTACTTATTAGATAAGTCTTAGAGCATGACTTGAAGCCCAGAGAAGTTAAGTGGATTGCCTATGGTCACACAGCTAGAAAGTGTTAGAGTTGAGGTTTGAACTCACATCTTCTCGACTCCAAATTCAGCATTTTATCCACAGCACCATTCTGTCTCTCTTTATGAATATAATAACATTTTGTGAACTAACCAATTAATTTACCATAGATGGCTATGGCAATTCACAAAAGAACCAAAAGTACTAGAGTATTGGGAAAGACATCTGTCCAAGTGGCAGAAGTTAATATAAGAAACAAAACCAACCTTCCAAATAAGACTATCCTGTCCAAACTGGATATTTGGTCACTTTAGATTGTAAGCTCCTTGAGGGCAAGGAAGATCTTTTGCCTTTCTTTGTATCCCCAGTGCTTAGCACAGTGCCTAGCACATAGTCGGCACTTAATAAATATTTGTTGATTGACTGACTTGGTTTTTATGTTGTCAGATGGCGATTCTATATAGGAAAACATCTCTCAGAAATCTCTAAGAACCATAAGAGGGAGAAGCAAAGATTATCTTATAGAAAAAAAGGGAAAGTTTTTTTTCTTTGAGACAAAAACACTACTATTTTTCTTTATTAATTAAAATAAAAACATATAGATAACTTTTTCATATCACCTTCATTTCCTGTCTGTCAGTCTGTCTATCTGTCTGTCTGTATGAAACCAGTACACCCTCACTTATTGTTTCATTATGTTCATATATTCAAAGTTAGAATAGACCTTAGTGTCTAACCCCTTCTTTTTATGGATAAGAAGTGTGAGGCCCAGAAAGAGAAAATTATTCTGTCCTCTGACTTCCAAGGACAACACTCTTTATAACTCCTTGTCATTTGTTAAGTCAAAGTGATAAAAGTTAGTCCAGAATGGCCCCTCCTGATCCAGGGAAGAGGAAAAGCTCCAAACCATTAATCCTACCAAGAGAGTGTGACAAGATATATCTCTCTCTATGTCTTTTTAATTTCTAACTCTTATATATCTAAACTCCATCTAATCTCTATCTAACTATGTAACTATCCATTCATATATCTATCTAATCTCTCTCTAATCTCTTTACTTCTCTACCCAATCTCTCTCTCTTTGTCTCTCTAATTTCTATCTCTCTAGTCTAAACTCTCTCTAGCTAATCTCTATCAGTCTATCGATCCATCTATCTAATCTATGTCTCATCTCTCTCTAATCTCTATTTCTCTATTTAATCTCTTTCTATATCTATCTCTCTAATCCAAGCTTTAATCCTCTCTCTCTTTCTCTCTGCCTTTACATATCTATATCTATATATCTATTTCTCTAATCTCTGTCTCACTAATCTATTTAAGATCTCTAATAGCTATCTATCTGTCCTATGTATTACGACCCACAGCCCAAGGGGCCCAACAAAGGAATTGACTTTGACTCTGGACTCATTTTAGGGATAAATTTGTTCCCTCCCCCCAAAGGGGAGGAGTCTAGCTTTCTTACTTTTTGGCTCATTGTCTCTATTCCAGTCTAACTCCACAGCAAATTCTTAAACAAAGCTTAGTTAGGCTCATATTAATTAAGGGAATTAACAGGGTGTTTTGTGATAAGATACTGAAGACACAATATGAATAGTAGGGAGAGGAAAGCAGTTTATTCCCTCTACTACAGCAATATGTAGAATACTTAATACTGTACTGGCCTCAAACAAATACAAAAACATAAGACAATGGCCCATTGAACTCATTACACTTTCCCAGCAGGTAAAGACAATTTTATGGGAACATGCTCCAGATACTTTCACCTCAGATATGTGGTTTTCCATCAACTTACAAAAGCTTAGATCTCCTGACTAGTCAGGGCACACAGCTCTCTTTAATCAAGGTATGGAATGATCACTAATGGTAGCCATTTTCTCTCTCAAGAAACATGCTACTCCAGTAAAGACTCACTGCTCATGGGCAGCTTGCATTCCACTCCAGAATTGTCTAACCCTCAAATTCCCACTTCTCAGGATCACTGTTCATTGATCTTTGCTCTGGGAAGGATGATGATGATCATAAGGAGGAGGAGGGAGAAGGAGAAGGAGAAGAAGAAGAAGATAAAGAAGAAGATGATGATGAAGAAGATGAAGAAGAAAAAGAAGAAGGAGGAGGAGGAGGAGAAGGAGGAAGAGGAGGAGAAGGAGGAGGAGGAGGAGAACAAGAATAAAACCACCACCATGGACTCAGGGTTCCCTAAGCAAGTAAGATCCTCACTCCCAGGTGCTTAGAGCCACCATTGCCACAGTGTGGGAAAAAGGAAGAAATTCCCTCTTCCTCCAACCTTGAGAAAAATACTGGACCCCATTTCAGGTGTCCATGCTGTACCCCAGGCTCCCCTATGCCCCACTGCTATAGATGCCTTCTGTTTTTCCATCATAGCCATTTCTAATTAGGTCCTTTTCTATTCCTCCTCCCCACCTCTAGTGAACCTTTCCAGTTAGAATCTAAGTTTCTTGAGGGCAGAGACTATTTTTTTTGTCTTTGTATTCTTAGTACTTAGCACAGTGCCTGATACATAGAAGGTACTTAATAAATGATTATTTGATTGATTAATTGACTGATTCCCTTGTGGCAAAGAAAAAAGTAGTTAAGCAAAACCACGGCACATCAACCACATCTGGCAGTGTATGTAGTAAAGTTCCCCATCTTGCCAAGAAAAGGAGGGAGGTACATTTCTTCATCTCTTCTCCAGGATTGAGACTGGCTATGATAGCTATTACTATAGCTCCATTTCTACTGAAAACTTTTAAACATGCTTTAATGCTGCACCGCTGACTTGGCTAAGGTTTCACTACTACTAAATAGCAAAGGGCAGCTAGGTGGCAAAGTGGATAGAGTACCAGAAGATAGATCTTCCTGAGTTCAAATGTGGCCTCAGACACTTAATAGCTGTGTGACCCTGGCCAACTCACTTAACCCTGTTTGCCTCAGTTCCCTCATCTATAAAATGAGCTGAAGAAGGAAATGGCAAACCATCCCAGTATCTTTGCCAAGAAAACCTGAAATGGAGTCCCAAAGAGTCAGATATGACTGGAAAAGCTGAAGAAGGAGAAGAAGAAGAAGAAGAAGAAGAAGAAGAAGAAGAAGAAGAAGAAG